GAAAATGTTTAATCTTGCTCATATAATTTATAAACACACTTTTGTATGTTCAAATTTGAACTATTTGTTCAATTTTCATTTTGTCTATTTTACTACAAATCTAGACCTAAGTTTTCTGGTCCACATAAAAAAATTATGTTTTCACCAAGATTTGTATTTTTTAAAAGTAATTTTTTGGGGGGTACCAGGGAGCTTGCCAGGTAGGTGCTTGGGCCACTGCGCTAAATTCCTGGCCCTAAAAGTAATTTCTAAAATAGCTACAGGGAAAAGAGAAACTGTTAACTAAATGAACTACCACTGGATTCGGATTGTGACTGCATGTTTTAGACTTTTCCTCCCTTTCCCTGAGCACTCCCCAACAGTCCTAGATAATTTACAGCTGATTAGCAGGGACAAACATCTGCGTGTCTTTTTGCCTAGTCTGCATGCTAGTATTTCACTGAACTTTGTACTCCTCTAAGGAAAGGACTAGTTTTAATTCACCTATATTCCCTCAGGGTCTAACAGCAGGCTAAGCATTTAGAAAATGGTCATGAAAGGTGTGTCAACTTTATTAAAATAATTTACCATTTTAGACCTTCTTTGTGTTGAGGTAGTTTTTCTGCAGGAACCTCAATAGCTAGCTCCCTTTTAAACCTATCGCAGATCTGAACATTATGAAATATGGTATGCCACATTATTAGTGATAAGGAAGAAGTTGGAAAGTAAAATTAGCCAAAGCCCAGTTGAGTTATTAACCCTCACAGAACAGGAAAGGTTGGGCCTAAGCTGACTTCAGCCCTCCTAAGTCGTCTGAGGAGCACAGAAACTAAAGGGACAGTGGATAGAGAATGTAAAAGATGGGGCTAAGCCACACATGCTCAGATTTGCTCCCCATATACCAGTGAAGTAATTTTCTTCATCTCTCCAGGAAGATTTTTTAAAATGAGTTAACCTTCTAGACTGTTTTCACAGGAAAGAAAAACATTACAAATGGGGAAAATGTTCTCAAATAATACTATATGACTTTTATCATTATACCCAAAGTTGAATGGGGTAATTAGGTAATGGTAAATTGCAGGATTCACTTATTAATGTTGACAGAAGAGCTCCACCCAGAGGAGTTAGGCACAGAAGAACAGCAATATTTGGTGAAAATTACAACTGCAAAATAGCAAAAAGGCTATTTCTCAAGTTGCATGTAAGGACCAATATACAAGAAAAACTCCTGGCAACCAGAATTGGTTGTGTTGTGTGTAGTTGAAGAAAAGCCAAGACAATTACAGTTATATTATCACTTTGCATGATAAAACTGTAGATTGGCCCTGGAGTAAATGCCAGAACAATGGATTGAGGTTTGAAGAGCTTGGATCATAACCAGTTTTCAGAATGCTAAGAGGTGGTGCAGAAATTTCCAGGCAAGTCTAAAATCGGTGCACCATATATGGTGTGAATACAAAGACTTTGGAGTGATGCCACCATTACAGGGCTATTTAGAGTACATCATTAGGGAAAGACATAAGGCAGCATACCGTTATTCTTCAAATTTAAATGACTATTTCAGAACTATGTTTTCAAATTTAAATTGGTTATTTCTTTCAGTAGATGTTTCATTGCTTCAAATTAATTACTACATAATTGACCTGAAACTAATCCACAGTAATTAAATTTCATTTGATCTAATGTATTCAGGATACATTTTGAAGGATCTGAACTAAAGGTGAGTAGCATGCTAGAAGAAAAGGAATGATACTAAAGTATGAATCAGAGACTCAGGTCCTGGTTACTCCATCAGCCATTTGTATAACCCTGCAGATTTTCACCTTTCTAGATGCCATTGTAAAGAGCCGAAATAGAAAATACTCTGAGATATACAGTTTCACGTATCCTTCTCCTACAGAAGATGATCTGAGAATTCAGAGGAAATTATTTTCTGAAGGACATCCTAGGAGTCAACAGCTAAGACCAGAATTTAGACATTCTCATTCCTAGTTTGTTGTTTTTAATCCACAAAAATCTCAGTGGTTTCTTTTAATTTTGAAATGCTATTATAATGACTTTCTCTTCATCACAATTTGTTCCTTAAAAATGATTGGCCCATACAGTCTTCCTTTTTCTGACTATTTCATTTTTCAAATGTGGAAAAAGAAGTTCAGACACATACGCACTGAGACATGTAGTTTGGCCATTCTAAGAATAGAAATTATGGTTACTTCCAATTCTTTACTTTTTGCATGCACCATAAAGAAATAATTCTTCTCAGAGTTACACAGAGAGGTAATCGTAAAGTGAACTGTCCATTTATATATGTAGCTTCCTTCTAAAATTCTTCTTGACAGCATAGGGCAGAAAGAGAATCATGTAACTTTCTCTGAGAGGTGCCTGTGTGGCTTTCTTTTAAAGAGAAAAGCAGAGACCTCAATATAGTTAAATGAATGTTTAGATTTTCATTAATTGATCTCATATCTGACCAATAAATATTATCAAATGCATAGAATATCCTGCAACAATATTCTAGCAAGTTCTTTAAATTGTGAATACATTATCTGTGTTTTAAAATTCCTTTTCAAAGTTTGACAACTCTGATGTGGATTGTTCCATATTATAAAGAATTCTCCAAACATACTGCTGCACTCCTATATAGGAATAGGACATAATCCCTCTCTTGCTCCTAGGTCAACAATAATTAGCCATTCTCTGTCCTTTGGAAAAGTAATGTTATCCCTAGATTAATAGATACTGAAATTACTTCATTGCTGTCAGTGAACACACATCACTACTTGGGAATGTCATTAAAAAAAAAAAAAAACAACTATAGGTAAGGACTGAGAAGGACACTTTATTTTGCCTCCCTAAGAAATAGAGTTTAGAAGGCTAAGTGGTGGGTGGATATCAGTATGTGCTATTTCCAATTCTATTACCCTTCCTGTGTTTCTCAGTGCACAGGGGTCAGTAGATGCTTAAAACAGTCATCTACACCTCATCTGGTGCAAGCCTGCTCTTCAGCATTTAATCCTATGCGCAGGCTCTCAGGTGACCCACTGGCATATAACTTAAGACAGGAAGCTGAATTACGCTGTTCTCTGCCTCTCCAATCTTGTCCTGGTTCCCCTTTCCCCCTTCAGTTCAGCTCTCCTTGTTATCTTTGTTACACTTAGCAAACGATAACAGATTAAGCCAAGTGTAGAGATAATGAAATATAAATTAGTAAGTTTTCCGGCCTTTATCCACAGCCCTGTCAGACTGTATTATCTGATAGATCGAGTTCAGAGCAAGTCAGTTAAATTTCCCCTTATCAGAAACTGAGTGTGAAGTGTGGTAATGTTGCTAAGTGCAGAACAAAAATCTCTCTCTTTTGCATCCTATGACTGCTCCAGGCAACATTCTTGGAAACCTCTGACTAGGAAGGAAGAGAAGACCCTGAGATATATACAGTGTGACAAGCCAGGAGGCTATGCTTCTCCGGTAACCGTCCTGTGAACGGCAGTCGCCTGTGGCTGTGACATTACCACACTTTGCTCAGCTTCAGAAAGGGAAATTTAAGTGACGACTGCTATGAAGTGAAGCCACAGCCTAAACCAGATAATACACACTGACAATACTGTCAGGCAAAAAAGGCTGTGTTCCCACTGATTTCATCGCATTAGAGACATATTACCCTGAGCAGAGTGCGTTGGAGGGTATATTGTGCACACTGTGGGAATATTAAAGGGAACACACACTGATTTAGGCAGAAGCGGGCCTCCAAGAGAAGTCTCTCCAGAGTGGCCTGCCTGAAACACACAGCATTTGGCAAAGTGGAGAAGGCAATGCTATTGATGGTAATTATAACTGGGTTCTCCATCTGCACCAACTGCTACCTGCTAGCTTTACTGGAGACAGGAAATGAAGTTCAGATGTCCTAGGAGAAACACTCAATATCTTCTTCTTTATTCAGATAGGTAGCATATGTACCATAAAACATTTAGGCAAAGGAGTGTGTGTGTGAAGTAAGTATTCATATTACCCCAAAGTAAACTAAACTCCTGCCTTCACTTAATTGAGAACCCAAAATCTATTTAGAAGTTTTATCTCCTTATTGTTTTCACTATTATATATCATCAATATATTTTAGAAAACAACATTGCCACATGTCTACTCAAATCATTATTCTTATTTCAAGTAATTTGACAAAATCTAAAAAAATTCATGCAACAATGCAAGACAAAAAGGAATGGGAGGAGAAGCATTTTATAATTTATATTCTGAAAAAGCACAAAGATAGCTGATGATTTTTTAATTGAGTTTTAAAAGAATTGTGTACACCTGAAGGATCAGAAGGGCAAAATAAATGCAACAGAAAAAAGTGTCACGTTGGTTTTCATAAACTCAGGCTAAATTCTAAAAGCAACTTGAAATTCACCTCTTAAAAATCAGTTCATTAAAACTTTCATTAAAATTGTTAAGTAACCTGTAATTCAGGATTGCTATCCATTGTTTTCTCATGTCTTTTGACTTAAATACTTCCAAAAACTTTTCTTTCCAAATACTGCTGTCGAGATCAGTTGTCTGTTTCATCACCCCCACCATATTACTTTCTCTTTCTGTAATTTTTCCTATTTCTCTGGCTCACTCATCTTTTTAAATTTATGGTCTATTGACATATGGATGGTTGTCAGCATCAAAGTCATAGTCATTCTCATCTTTGGGCTTAAAACTATCCATATATGGGCTTTTTCTACATAAATAATCTATAATGTAAATGCATATTCATTGTTGTCATTGGTTACATATGAATAGCTAAAATAAAGGCACAAAAGTTCATAACTTGCTTCCCATTGTTTAAAGGAAGGACATCAATACTGGAAAATAAAGTGACCACCTTCTTCATTAAAGATCAGATAGATCCGCATTCTGAATGGAGGCAGGGACCCCGACATAAGGGTTCAAGGACTTCTCCATATGCTCTTCTGTGGAGCTCTCCAGCCACATTTCCACCATCTGTGCTTCCTTTTACCCCCAGGCTTCATTTGCAAGAACAATTTCTTCTTTTTGATATAAAATTTATTAATAGAAATTAATAACAGAATTTTTATTAATATATTTCCTTACATAAAATTTCAATTATTAATACAAATCTTCCAAACTCATATCACGGTATATTTTGTCATTCAGGACATCCCCTTCTGATAAAATTTCAACTTTTACATTGGTTTTCATATTCCATATTAAAAGTGTTACTTTTATTTTCTTTTTCTTATCACCTTTATGTCTTTTATTAATAAACTTTATCAGTTTGATGTGTCTGGAATTAGCACTGTACCACTAGATCCATTTTGAATACCTTTTGTATCTTCTCTTTTAAGTATTTTTTGTACTGCTATATCTATATCTTGCCTCCTTTTTTCCTGTGCTTTCCAATTGTTTTCTCTCCAGACTTTTTCTCTTTGGTCACGCTGATAGATTTTTTTTCTTTATTAAGTGATGTTGAAATGTTCCTGTAATACAAGTTAGGATGCTTATCACTAAGTTCCTTCAAATGTTCCTAAGGTCTAGATAATATCTATAATCTTCCTCTCCCTTAGCCCAAGTATGTTGATAGATTCTACTTGTAGTTTAAACATGTTCCAGGTCTTGGCTTTTATTTTCTTGTTTAGCTTTTGATCTTTCTGTTTCATCATGAGGAGGAAATATATGATATATATGTGTGTCTCCACAATCACTTTGGAAGTATATCATCTAATAATCTCTTCAAAAGAGAATACAGGGCCAGGTATGTAGCTCAGTAGCTCAGGAACTGCCTGTCAAGTACTAGGCTCTGAGTTCCATTTCCAGCGTCAAAAAAAAAAAAAAAAAAAAAAAAAAAAATCAAAAAGAAACACACTTTCTGAATAATCAAAACTTAAAATGTCTTTTTTACTTTCAAAATTGAGTATAATTTTAGTCTTCTATGTTTAGAATTTTTCTCTTAAAAGACTTTTTAAATATTGTGCTATTTACTTTTAGGGTGTCCATGGATATATTTTCTGTTAGTCTTACTTTTGTCTCTTTGTAGAATACCTTGCTATAAATATTAGCAAGACTTCTCTTTGAATCTTTAGGGTTAAGCAAAAAGGTTATAACTACAAGGGAAGGTAAAACAATGGGTCAAATACTAACTGTATTTTTAGAAATGACATATAAATTTAACAAATTTGTATTATTTTCCAAATATGAACCTATTGTTTGCTTTTAAAGGATATAACACTGAACAATAAATTTAAGTCCACCTTGTGTAGATCCACGTTTTTCTGGGAGTAACAGTTTTATTCATATAGACATTGCTCATTTTATACATTATTCTTAGGAAGACTCGTAAGGAGCAAAGAATAAGTTAAGAATGTAAAACAGTATCAGCCAGACAGAGTGGGAATTGTGAAATGAGTTAGAAAAAGTTTCCCCCTAAAAGCAGTATGCATCCCTGGGTTTTAGCCCAGCAGCATAAGCACTGCCTGGCAAGCAGGAGGACTGCGGTTTGATCCCCGGAACCAATAAAACATACAAACAAATCAACAAACAAAACAACAACAACAAATATGCAGTGCTATTCCAGAAATATTAGAGACACAGGTGAGTTGAAAGATCAGGGGAAGAGAATCTTTATCATTAATCTCATTCAGTAAAAATACAGTAATTCAATAAGACACTAACTTTCAGTAAAACATTACTACTGATACAAGCTAGTATTTATAATGTCCTTTACGAGTTGACATTCTATAATTGTCTTTATCCTGAGGTCTTGTGCATAGAATTGTTACGGTTTGAATGTAATCTCTATAGTATGTGTTGACATTTGATTTCTACTGTGAGAAGTGGGATTTTTAAGACTAGCTCAAGAGCCCTCTGCCTTCATGAATGGATGAAAGCCATTATCGTGTGAGGGGGTTAGCTTTTGAAGGAGTGGGCTTCTAAATAAAGGATGAGTTTGGCTTAATTTACTTTCTCATCTTGCATATGCTTGCTTGTTCATTCTCAGTCCAGAAAACAGACCAAGACAAAGATCAAACCAACAACATAGAAAAATGATGTTTTCAGCCAACCCAACTACTAAATTGTAACACAGTTGATTCAAAGATTCATATCATATTAAAAATCAATCAATAAAACTCACCCCTGGGAAGATTTTTCACTAACAGCCTTATAAAACAACCTTGAGGATGTAATGTGCGAATGTCCATTTCCTTATGTTAGAGTGGTAAAGTCAAAGGTTATGGCTCATTTCTTAATTTAACATGAAACACCTTCTGAAAAAGAAAGACTAGTGAAGAAAGAACAGAAAGAATCTTCGTCACTCTTAAACCTAGAAATGCGGAAATTACATGAGACAATTGGGTGAGAATATCATTAACACTGGGATTTGAACACATGGACTGGAACCAGCAGAAAATCAGAAGTCAGTCTGAGTTGAAGTTTCTATGTGTTTTCTCCCCTGAACTGTGAAGATGTGTCTTGGGCAAGTCACACCTGGGGCTCCGGAGGATGATGGGGCTACTGAGGGGCTACAGGATTCTCCACGCCTGTCTGTGTTCAGAGCAATGGCACAGCGGAAACACGGTTCAGAGGCAACACAGCACACAGTTCCAGGTTGGAAAGTCAATCATTTCCTTTCCTCCATGCTCACTGCTTTCTCTACGAGGTAAAATCAAACTGGTCAGAAATAGGAGAATGAGAATGGGTGCATTTGGGTGTCTGCTCTTTTGCTGGACGTAGCCGCAGGAATCACAAGGAAAAATTAATGACAAAGTGAAGACACAAATTCTGCATTGTGAATTAGTGCATTTGTTGCCATTCAGCCCTTGTCAGCAATTTACAAAGATCTTAGCGTTTTAGGCTGTCACCTAATTTCCGTATAGTAAATAATCATAACAATATGTGCTCCGTCGACAAACAATATTCCTTTCTCATTTTTGTAAGAAGAAAAGTAATAGAAGCAAACCCTTCAATTTGTTCCATCTGTTATATTCATGTGACTGTCTCTTTTTTTCTTTTTTTCCGCAGATCAACAAGATAAATCTAGCTGCCTAGCTGGAAAAAAAAAAAAAAAAAAAAAAAAAAAAAAAAAAAAAAAAGGATGAAAGGGGCTCCATTGTGAACTGAAGTTTCAGTGGAGACACGAAAGCTGGCTGATGTTCTGAAATTAGCATGAAGCCGCACCAAAGGAAACAGAGGGATTCTTCCCTGTTGTACAAAGGACCCTGTGAACTTTCCAAATGCCTGCGATCTCATTACTGACAACACTTTTTGCCCTCCAACTTTCCACGTGGTGACCTATGGCTTCTGCTGGAGCGTGGATGCAGATTTCCTCTCCAGTGAAATAGCGTGAACGGAGTGAAGAAGCAGAGTCTTTAAGGAGCCACGCTGTGCACCACCGACATAATTAGGAGAGCTGCTGCGGAGGAGCGCGGAGGACGTCTAATGAGCCAGCGAGGATCAGGTGGAAAATGAGCGCGGCTGCGTGGTCAGGGCACTGTTTGAGTTTCCTTTAGGTAGACTGAAAAACAAAAATATTAAGCCTGCTGAAACCCGTCCAGAGTTTGGGGATTAAAAGCTCTAAGGAAGCTTACGCCACGGTGGAAAGAGAAGAGAGAGGAATGTGCTGCCTTCAGAAGCAGCTTCTGATTACTACACTTTTGACCCAAATTCACTTCGGAAGCAGCATCAGTGTCAGCTGGAAGAAGTCCCAGAAAATGTTTTTAATGATTTCAAAAGAGAACACAGGATTACAGGCAGACCATGTGATGCATGTGCACTGAAGTTTAAGAAAGATTTTAAAAACAAGAATCTGATTTTAAAAGCGTAACCATCAAAAGATCTACTGGAGTAGTCTTTGAATATTAAAGCCTTCAGAAGAAAGCATGGGAATGGTATAGGCCCTGTACATTGGGAGGTATTGCAAAGTTTGTCTGACTCTCCAATTGCTTATCCACATGAAGATAACCAATTTTAAATAATTGTTTTAAAAAATTTTTTGAAAATTAGTTGCAATCATGCATGCAAATACTTAAGTCAATAATATAACAGTAAATCTGGTATCTTTGTTGTTCCTAGAAGTGACACAGGCTTAAGACAGAGATGGTAGCAATAGACCAAAGGATGATCATGCTTGACAAATATTTATATAGTAATATAAGCAAAATCTTCTAGAGAAAGGAAGCAGGATGAATAGAAGTGACCTGATATAGAAACCTGAATAGCCACGGAAAGAAAGGCACTTAGTGTTACAAGAAGTACTAATGATGAATGCAGGGTCAGTAGTGAAGAGCCTGTAATGCTTTGAACCTTTGATTAGACAATTTCAGGAAGCACTGTTTTGAAATCACAATTGGTCACTAGGAAGATCAGATACACTTTAAAAACATAGGGATAATAAATTAGAATGCACCAAGCGTGGAATCAAAATGACTATTTAGGAAGATGTAACAACTCCTCAAGGGGAAATGAGGGTATCCAGGACAAGATTCTGACCTGAAATAGTAAAGACATTTGAGACATATTTTAGAAGGCTGGTGATACAAAAGAGGTGATGATAAGATTTGATTAAGGATCGGACATCTGGGTAGATGATAGTACCACAGCAGGATACTATTTTGGGGGGAAATGAATGTTTCTTTTTAGATGCACTGAAAGTTTTTGTTCCACTTAGACATCTAATTAAAAATGTTGACAGTCATGTATACAAACTTCGGTCTCAAGAGAGAACTGATTCAGAAATATAGGTCTGGAAGCCATTAGGCTACATACATACTGCCTTTGGAGTCTTAGGAGAAGGTGAGGAATAGAAAAGTTGACAATGGACTAAGTTAAGGATCCCTAGAAATTAAAGTGACTATTAAAACTTTAGTCTTCTCAGAGTTCTAACCTTATTTTATTTTCAACAAATTAAACAATATTTTCAAAATAAAGCTTCCCAATGCTACATTTACCAGAAGTATCTCTACATCATCATAATTATCATCAATATTGTATTAGCTTTGTTATTCTAACAAAATACCTGAGACAATCTACTTAAAGGGAAGAAAGTTTCATTTGGTTTGCAGTTTTTAAGGTTTAAGTCCAAGGTTAATCAACCCTACTGCTTTTGGTGGCAGTATATCGTGGTGAGGAGCACACAGTGCAGGAGTCTAGTTACCTCATGGGAAAGATAAAAATCCTAAATTTAAAATATAACTTCTAATGAATATGTATCACGTTCACCCCATTATAAAGCTAAAGAAAAACAAATTGGAAAACAAGCCAGAGACTTACCTGCATGTGTCAATTCTTGAAAATGTCTTGGATACATAATTTGACTGACAGCCATAACAGCAAATTTAGGAGTTGAGCTTAGCTGTCTATCCAAACTCCACATACCTGAGCTCTGAAATATGAATGCAGATAGTTAGGTATATATTATAAATAAATCCCCATATTTGATCTGCCAGACAAATGACAAGAACTTTATTCTTCTTCTTAAAATGACAAAACAGTATAAGTTTGCTGATTTCCTCTCTCAAGGACTTTCCCCTACCATCTCTGGTGCTAGGGTAATTCTTTCCTAATTAAACTGTCCCTCCAGGTGGTTCAAGCAGGCCTGAGCCCCCCCCCCCCCAGTAAGAGGAGGGAGGCAGTTCTGACCAATCAGAGGCACGCAGTCACCAAGCACAATAAGGTAGGCAAAATCTTCTGACACTTCCCCAATGGTTATAGGCATTTGGCTCAGTTGTGAAGTGGCCTTATAAAAGAGAAAGATAAAAGATTAAACTTTGAAGACATTTTGGAAGAGCTCAGTATCCTCAGAGTTGATTCCAATTGTATCGCAGAGATTTTCGTCATGCCAGCCAGAAATTTGTTTTCTTTTTTAAATTAATCATTTACTGGTAAATTTTAGATGTATATAATCACCACATTCATCATAGGGAATTTTGTACCTGTGCATGATATATTTGAATTCTTTTTTCCTATTCCCCTCTCTCCCTTCAACCGTCTTCCTCTCCTTATTTGTAAAAGTTTTGTTTCCGTTCTTCCCTGTTTTCTGTCCTTTCTTTGTCCTTCTTTCCTTTCCTCCTTCCCCACGTTTCTGCCCTTCTGCTTCTTCCCCCCTCTCACCTCCCTAGTTCCCCTTCCCCTTCCCACTTGAGCATTTTCTTCCTATTTCACAATATTTGCATTTTGGTCTCAATTTACACTTTCAGTTTCTCACACCAGAAAAATCATGTGATATCTGAACATGTGTATCAAATTGATTTCACTTAAGAGTATGGTCTGAAGGTTCAAACATTTACCTAGAAATGTCTCAAGTTTATCCCTCTGAGTAGTATTCCATTGTTTATTTTTTTTTTTACTTATCCATTCATCAGTTAAGTATTTGAGCTGTTTCCAAGATTTAGCTACTACAAGCTGTGATGCCATAAACATGGATGTGCATATATTAGTGTTGCTGATGCGTTTAATTCTTTGCAGAAGATACTGAAAAATAGGATAGCTGGGCGTAATGGAGTCTCCACCATCTCACTAATCTCAAATTATCATCATCACCATCTCAAATGGTCATCATTTTCATTGTTTCAGCTTAAGCATTCCCTGTCTCCTCCCAGAATAATTCATAATAACCTTCCTCCTAATATTCTTATGCTATTCAAAGTTATCTCAGATATAGTGGGTAAAAGAGATGACTGGATAAAACAAAACTGATCATTTCCCTCATATATAAATATTTTGGGGAGTTAAATTCTGCATGGCATAGAGGCTGGCTTGGTGGATGTGATATGAAATCCCTGGTTCCTTTGTCTGAATTTTCTCTAGATTGTTGTTCACCAATCTCTGCCTTTTACTTTATGTGCCAAGACCTTTGCTGCTGATAACTTCTAATCATGCCAGTTTGTTTCTTAAAATCATGTCTTTTTGTGCTTATCCCCACTTAAAAATGTTCTACCCTTGCTGGGTTTGCTAACACACCTGTAACCCCAGCACTTCAGAGGATGAGGCAGGAGGATCACCGTGAGTTTGAGATCAGCATAGGCTGCACAGTGAATTCAAGTCAAGCCTGAAATACATTAGAAAGACATTGTCTCAAAAAGAATTTCTACCCCACAACCATTTACGTTAGTCATCACTGAGGACTCAGTTCAATTAATACTTTTTCCTAATCTTAAACCTGCCCTTCACCCATTTTAAGAGGACCTTATGCCTTTCTTTGATGTTCAATTAAAGTCCTGTTCATGACACTATTAATATAGCTACCTTGCCTCATAAATTTAATCTTTTTGAGAAAATCTACTCTAAGTCATTCTGCATTCCATCATTTGGTAAAAACTTGGATCACGGTAAGTATTCGAATAAACACATAACTGGCAGAGAATTTTTGTAAAAACTCATACCTGGGACAGTCCAAACCATGCCTTCCCAAAGCAAGACTTCAGTTGCTTTAAGGATTGGAAAAATGGTAGACTGTGAGAGGCAAGATAATTCCAAATAAAAATGGATGGCACAGAGCTATTAGTGAAGTCTCCAAACTGAGGTACATACACATATTCTGAGGATAGTGAATTTAACTGAAGCCTAAGAGTTTCATCAGACAACAAACTTGGGTTAGATTCCTGTTGAACACTATTGACACTCTGCTGAAGAGGGCGGAGGATGTTATTTTGAGTCTTAATGGATGTTGCCAAAAAAAGTCTACCTAAAACTTATTGTATCATAGTAGATATTATATAGTGAGTAGTAGAAATAGAATACAACAAGCAGAAGGTTTCTGAAATAGTTTAAGTCTGAATTATGCTAATATTAATAGCATGAAAATGTATGAATATTAAGCAATATTTTACTGACTGAATATGAAGGTCTAAGGAGAAAAAGCATAAAGAATTGCTGGAAATATTCCAAATACAGTGTAAATGATGCTACTACTATGAATAATGGGGACTTCTAAAAGTAACCCAGTACCTGGAAGTCAATGCCGAGGTTTGGTTTCTCCCAGGCTGAGGTTGTAGTGGTGAGATATCCAAGGATAAGCACGAAGCACTCACATAAAATGTGTCACCACATTGTATCTTTAAAAGAAGCCTAGAACTGATAATAAGTTAAAAAATTACATCCATAATAAAAAAAGCAGAATAAGTAAATTTTTAGAAATAGAATGTAGACCTTGAGTTTTGAATGAGAGCAACGGTTAACAACCTGAGAGAACTTTTTTAATGTGATGGAACTATGTTAACAAAGGATTGTATTAATGTTTCAATGACTTTATAAATTTACTAAAATTTACTGACATGTAAACTGAGAGTGAATGAATACTATGGTGTATAAGTTATATTTCAGCAAAGTTGTTAAATTTGTCTTTTTGAAATGGCAAATGAAATCTAAGTGCTTGCTCTAAGAAGAACAATGGTGCATATCATAACTTATATGTTCATATAGAGAATGAGAGCAGAACACAGAGCTGAGAGCCAAAAACTAAATTTAGGAGACATTTTGAATCTGAATGGTTGGTGAAATTCAGTTCAAGATGCTAGAATTGTAAAGATAAATCCAAAAAGTGATTATAGCAAGAAAAATGAACAGATAAACTCAGCAGTTAGTTCTCAGAAAAGATCAACATAACTAACTTTTTAAAAGAAAATAAGCTAAACTTATGACCAATGGAGTAAAGAAAAGTATAATCACAGGGGCTGAGGATAGAGCTCAGTGGTACCGTGCTTGCCTGACAAGCACAATCCTGAGTTCGATTTCCAGGATCAAAAAAACAAAAAACAAAAACAAAAACAAAAACAAAAAAAAAAAAAAACCAAAAAACAAAAAACAAAAAACAACCAACCAACCAAACAAACAAAAAAACAAATATTCCTTCATTATTGTAATAAAATATAAAATTATGTTAAATTAAATTTAAAATATCAAAGACAAAATTTTCTAGAAAAAAATGTAAATTTAAAAGTTTTAAATTTAAAATTGATGAACACAACTGAGAAAGCCATTTTATACATTTGCCTAAAAATGCGATAATTAAGACCATTCCCTCAGAATGTTTAACCAAACTCCCACATAAAATGTGTAAACTTCAGAGTTTCACTCAACTTCTTAAACCTCAATTTAGAGGAGCCCTTCTAAAATAAGATAAACTACTATTCATAAGAGTTATTGCAAACATGAACTAACATAAAATAGTAAAATAAAACAGTGCACATAAAGAAGTTGACTGTTAAAGTCAGAGAGAAAGTCAGGCACCAGTACTGTGTGCAGTTGAGTTGGCTGATACGACAGGTAGGTCAAACTTGGGATAGAATTAGGTAAACAGTTTTTAATCTAAGACAAAAAAATTATCATTTCAAACTTCATTTTCTCTGCTCTATTACGTTATCCATCTGTAAAATGTTGCATTTTGTAAGGTCCCCACTCTCTATAAACAGTACTAAAAATTAGAAACTACATCTCCAAGCTCTGTCATGTTTGAAGATAAATAAAGAAAAATCATAGGATTAGGAAAACCTAATTTTATTTGAGAAAGCTACATTCAATAACTCACCACCACTTAGTTGTTAAGCTCTGAGAAAATTAACCTCCTCTCACTGTATCTGAGCCCTGCAGCAACACTACAAGTCATATCTCCATGTGTCAGATACTCTCTGGGTCAAATTCCTAGAGTGGGCACTGTGACGGTGAACATTTTGGAGCTTTCAAGTTATAGCACACAGCCAAGTGTGGACAGTTCCTTTCACCAGCACTGGTAATTTCAGAGAATTCACTCCCACATCCCCAAAAGACTATTGTGGGTGTCTCTACACATCCTAAAATGCCTACAGTATGTTTGCTTTTTAGAATTAAAGTGGAAAATGTAAAGCACAATGAAGATGAAGTTTGAGAAGAGGCCACTCTCTTGCTGAGTTTTCCTTTCTTTATTCTTCTTACTCCCTTTGAGTCAATTTTAAATCCTGCCATTGCATTGTATCACTATTTACATCATTTTCTGTGGCCTCTAGAGCATCACCTTGTTTCCTTCTTTCAAAATTAAACAAAATCTGAAAACCAAGTCAGAGAGCTGATGATGATTAAGCCATACCAATGCTATCAACCTCAGAAAGAAAAAGGGAGAGCTGCTAGAATCTGACAATACTTATAAATAAGAAAAAGTGGGAAAATAGAGAAATGAGAAAGACAGATAAATTAGGTCTGTCTCTTTGCACCCATTCCCCTTCCACCTGTTGTAGATCACCGCTGGCAGTTTACCCCTCTGCAGCTCCAGGACCTAAGGAAGCAAAGGATTCCTTCCAAGACCACAGCGCTGCACTGGTTCTAAAGCTGGCCCACGTTCAGAACAGCAGAAATGCTCAACAGTAACCAAACGTTCCTATCAGACTGCCTGTTTCTCCTCCAGGCCTGATTTCTTGGCAGATTTTTCCCCCCTTGCCTATGGAAATGTTTTAGCATTAATTTGAGACTGGTTTATTTCACACCCCCTACTAAGCACTAAAAAAAGGAATTCACAGAAATTCATGGGGTGCTATCGGTGACATTTTCACAAGTGTTAAAAGAATTTTTTGTGTTATTGTCTGCTTTTTTCTAAGAATCTTTTTGGTTTATGGCTTGCACTCTGAGTAACTCTTTGAAGATGATGACACAGTGTGACAACTATTGTCATTCTCTTTATTATGAACTTTTATTTTAGCATAAGATATAAAAGAAATGAATTTTAAATACATTTCAGACTAAGTCCTTCAACTCGTTTAGTTCACTGAATGATATAGATAGTTTAAGTATATTAAATTTTTAAAATTCATGCTTTCAACTTAGTAGGTCTTAAATTTAAATCTTTAAACTGCACTTAAGTAAACACACAGCCTTCTTCATCCATCCCATTTTTCCCATATGAAACTCTGTCCTGCAGTGTTATTCTTTAAAAACAAGCATGTTTAAGCATGTGTCTTCGGATACAGATGTTTATTGCTTTTAAGTATCATAAGTGTGCTAACCAAAAAAATTAGCCCTGAACATTTAGATCAAGTTGTTTGTTATGATTCTGTCTCATGCTTCTCTAAAATTTTATACTCTCATCTTTGGAGAACAAGTCAAGGGCTATCTTGTCATTTAATTAGGGACTATTAGTTGTCTTTTGGAAGCTCAATCTCTGCTCTCAGAATATATCACTATATAAATGCACTGCTTATAAAATACTGATTTTTAAAAATCAAGATCAAGGTGTCCCACTGAGGGAGGTGTACTGTCTTAGCTTGATGGAAGTACAATCACAAAATACCAAACACTGGATAACTTTGAGCAGAAGTTTATTTGTTTTACATCTCTGAGGGCAGGAAGTCCCACATCAGGATGGAACATTGTTAGACTCTGATGAGGGTTCTCCGTGTGACTTGAAGATAGCCACCTTCTTTCTACATCTACTCATGGCACGGAAGGAAAGTGAGTCACTTTCTATGCCTCTTTTTAAGCCCAATCCCATCGGGAGGGCCCGATGTACATAAATAATTTAAACTAACGATTTCCCAAATGTCCTATCTCCAAAGGCCCTCACTCTTGGACTGAGAACTTTGATTTACAAATACTTGAAGGATGCACTGCACTTCAAAGCAATCAGCTAGTGTGATGTGGCAACTACATTTTACTGTTAATTCATCTTAATGGAACATGGGAAGAGCAAGTTCTTCTAATTTTCTGAAGAGGCCAAGTTTATTTCTCCCATCCTTTTTTGGGGTAGTTGACCTGCGGATAATATGATATGCCAACATAACAATCAATATTCGAATTTACCTTTTTGTGTGTCGTTGATTGAAAGGGTGGACACTGTAGCCAGAAAAAGCCTCAGCAGGAATTAGGGAGCTCCTGTTCCCCCCCACACACCCCTAGAGATTTACCTGTAACCCTATACACCCCCACCCCTCGGAATCTGCCCCTGTCTCCAAACGTGCGCCAATGAAATACCTATGCTTCTCTAATGGCCTTAGGGCACTGCCCTAAGCTTAGGCTACTTATATTCCCCACACCACGTGTCTGTGTGAGAGAGATCACCAGATTTCAACGGCCGGCGTGCCAGTCCTCTCTCTCCGTGTTCCCAGAATAAAGGCCTCTTTTGTTTTATACTCCTCATCTTTTGGGAATATTTTTCATCTTCTGGAAATAATCCTCTCAATGATGAATCCAGGATTTTCACAACTTTGGGATGGATACAGCCTCTTGGCTTTGTAATAGTTTCCTTATGATTTTATTTTTCAAATCTCATCCTCAGGTGATAGTTAAAATGATAAGCAGGAAAGGGAAAAGCGGGGAAATCCTACTTCCTATGAACTCCTTATGTGCTACATAAACCCACTGCCCTTTGAGTTTCTGAGTTTATAAGTCATGAATCGAATGAGTTATAACTACATATATTTTATATTATTCACAAGAAATTTGCCAGATTTGTTGAAAAATGTCTCTTTATTTTTGAATTTTTTATTCTAACAACCCTAACAATTTTTTTTTTTTTTTTGAGAAAGAGTCTTGCCATGTAATTCAGGCTAGCCTTGAACTCACTACGCAGCTCAAAATGGACCCAAACTCACATCAATCCTCCTGCCTCAGCTTCTTGAGTTGCTGGGATTACAGGCATGCACCAGCATTCCCAGAAAAACATTGGTTAAATGAGATAGAGTAACACGTTTTTCCTTTGTCATATTAATGTTGACTTTTATATCGTTGTCTAATTACAGGAGTCTTCTAATCAGATTTAATTGATAATGGCATTTAGCATTTCTACATTGAGAGTTCAGTAAAGTGCTATAGGATGAAAATGTCAGTCATATGAAGTATTAATAAAAAGTATGGCAAATTATGAATTTAAAAGTCATTATAGTGAAAGACACATTGTCATTAGTCCTCTTCAAAATACTCCATCTTGTGTGAAATGCACTTGTAACATCCTTGTTGCTACTTTGTGAAGCAGTTCTAGAAATCTTCCTTTGTGTCTTTAGTTGCAGTACTGTGCCTGAATCAATTCGAAACGTTTACCTTTTTGCTTTGGAGAGGAGACAGAAGTTGCACAGTGGCAGATCCTGTGACTAAAGCAGGTGAAAGCATCCCAC